TCATTTTATCATATTTATACACAGAAACCCTATCAGCTATTAAGTTAAAAAAAGAAAAAGTAAAGTTTAATTTATAAATAATGCTGGTCTTCCTAGGGATCGTGCTTCAGGAAAGGATGCTAATTTTGCTGGAATTCTTTTAATTTCTTTTTGAACAGGGTAATCGTGGAGCTCATTCTTATCTGCAATGGAATTTCGCTCCACGTCTGTGCACCACAATAAAAAAAACTCCTTTTGGAGAATTTTAGGTTTTGCCTTGGGATGTCTAGGTGAAGGCAATTTCTTGTTGAATAGTTAGATATTTTGGATCTCTTGTCACAAGTTGTGACAAGTCTTCCTTTCAAGTTGTCAGGGCAGAGATCATTTATTATTTTGTAGATCATTACTGCCCTGTCAAATTTTATCAAATTTGAGACCGAAAGCCAATTGCAGCTCCACCCCTCTATCTCTTTAATCTTGAGCCGGCTATTAGCGTGCGCGCTCTGTTTTGTAAACGCTGAAGATGATCGAGCTTTGTGTTTGACAATTTGCCCCATAGTTCATCACTGTATCTCAAATGGCTCGTTGACCGTAATTCCTAGGTATTTTACCTTTTGAGCTCGTTTGATTGGCTCTCCATTTACATTAATTCTAGTGGGACAAGGATACGGTTGGTTTGTCCTTTATGATCAATAACCATATATTCTGTTTTTTCAGCATTCAAACTAAGCTTATTCTGACGTAACCATTCTGCAATATTGTCGATCGCGGTTTTTAGATCATTACAGAGATCTTAGATCGCTTCGGCAGAACAGGTGACACTGGTATCGTCCGCATACATGTTTGAGGTGCAATTTTTGAGGCACTGCTCAAAATTATTGACATACAGGATGAAGAGGAGTGGCCCCAAGCACGATCCCTGGGGGATACCGCAGTGAACAGTTTTTAAGCTTGATCTATGGCCATTTATTTGACAGTATTGTCTTCTGCCGGTTACATACGATGTGAACCACCGAAGAGATGTCCCTTCCACTCCGTATTTGGTTAGTTTCGATCGAAGAATCTCGTGGTTCACGCTTTTTTAAGGTCGAGAAATACGCTTATATCAATTCTACACTTGTCAATACTAGAAAACCATGAATCTGTTATGTTTAATCGTGAGGTCAGGGTGCTATGCATCTTTAAGAATGCATATTGACTTTCAGCAAATTTCTTTAGCTCTTTCATGTAAGTCGAGACTTGGTCGTGCCCAAATCTTTCCAGTAACCTCGAGAATACAGATAGCACGGATATAGGCCTATAATTACCCATTTCACCTTCAGAACCAGACTTGAAAATAGAGGTTACCCTTGATATTTTCCACTTGTCTGGAAAAATACCATTATGTACATCTTTTGAAAGATAATTTCATGCTGAATAACTTTTATTTAACATACGTCCCCTTAGAATATGAAAATTTAGTGGTAATTGGGCAGAAAGTGTGAATCTTGCGAACTCGTTTCATTTTATATCGCAAATTCATCGATGCATATTCTAGTTGAATAAGATAAGTATGTATACTCATTAGCCGGCTGCACTTAAACCGGGTTCACTTAGCCTGGGCTGACACACATGAGCCACTCAACCGGGCTGATCTCAGATGAACTATTTTTGCGCACATGTCACATCCGGTCAAATTCTAAAACATATCTAATATATCAAATCAAAGTACTCGCGACCACGACGGTCCAAACACATATTTTTTTCCTTATACAACTAATTTAAAGTAGTAATTAGATTTCAATTCTGACAGTTTTTCAACCTTTTTCATTGACATCCTCCATCTTAGTAGTTTTTGTTACCAAGACGTAAAAGACACTGCCAAATTCAGTGCAAATTCAAAGTGGCTGCACAAAACTACAGCTTAATGCTGGGCCAGTAATTTTCCCTTTATGCCCTTCTTTACCAGAAAAAGAGATAACTTCCAAATTGAGTATAATCCCAAAAATTTTAAACTTTTCAATTGAGAAGTGCGCACATGAAAAAGAGGGTGTTTTGAGAGTACCTAGGACCCAAAACCCGGAAAATAGTTATGAAAAACGGAAACCCGGACTTTAAAATTGGAAAATCCTGAGACAAATATATATACTTCAACGTGGTTCACCTTTTCCCGTGTTCTGCATTAAAAGACCTTCGTACCCGAAGTTATTACCAGCAAGAATATTTGTCTGCAAGGCACAGGGTAGATCCTTGCCTTTTTTCTCCAAATGAAGATGTCATCAGTGTTTGCGGAAGAACAGAATTTTAGGGAAATTTGTCGTAGATTGTGGAAATCCGACAATTTCTCAACAGAACGAGGGAATTCTACACACTTGCCGGGCGCAGATTTTCTCAAAATAATACACGGATGGCAGAAGTTTCAAAATGTTTAGCGGGATTCTCAACCTGCTCCTTGTTGGATAGGATTTCATCATCGCATTTTTTGATCTTGTTAATATATAAGTTGTTCAAAAATAAACTTATATACATTCAGAGGTGGCGCCAGAAATCTTCCGATAGAGGGGTTGGAGCTTCCAACAGGGGGCTAAATTGACTATAATATGCAGTTTTCATACGTTATTTTGTCAAATTTGCTCCGACAATAACCTAAAATTTTATTCCGATAGGGGGGCTAGATGCTTCCAATGTAGCGACTGTAGCGCCCTAGCCCTCCCCTGGCGCCACCATTGTATACATTCTATTGCCCAGTTGCCCCCTATTTGCTATTTTTGACCAGAAAGTACTTATTTCCACATTGTATGGGCGTGTATGTTGAATAAAAGTTGTTCAGCATGAAACTGTCTTTCAAAATATTTACATATAATGTGGCTTTAGCGACATCAAAATTTGATCCCCTGCTGAACAGTGCGCCATATGGGGTTTGCCCAAATAAGGAATTCCCAATGTCAAATTGATGGGGCTTATTTCTGGTTATTCCCAGTATCGTATGGAACCTATTTGCCAAATTACAGCTTTTTATTATTTTTGTCCGGGTAAAATCGTAATTCCACCACACTAGGATACGCTAGTAGAAAAGAAAGAAGAATAAATGTTCAATTTCGTCCGATTACACATCCCCTTCCGGAAAAAGAAACCTTGGAGACCCGGTGCATTGTTGTTGCTGTTGTACACGTGTGGGATAGTAGGAACAAATTGAAGAAGTCTTCCTATTTGGCCTGCCTGAAAGAGGAACTTATAGTTGGTGCAGGCAGTTTATTTTGAAAAATGAATTTTATTCTCAATTCAATATTAGTGTCAATAGTCTTGGTGAAATGTAATGGAGAAGTGTCGTTGTCTGACGACCCATCGCTCTATCCTGGTCATTTGGAACCCTTGGGTTCAAAGCGGCCGCAAGGAAAAGTCACAATGCTTGAAGAATTTCCTGATCCCCAAGGTATGTAAGACTTTAAGTGAAGACTTTTAAAGTTAAGCCAATAAAGATAGAGGTTCTGGGTATTTCTTGGGTACAATAATGGACTTTTACTATTTATATTTCGTTAGGTTACAAGACTGTATGGAATGCAACGTAATCATATTTTGTTTCGTAAAATAACCTGAAAGGCACAGTCAACAAAAAATACATTAAATTACGACGAAGAAATTTTTTTTATTCATTTCGTTGTATTTCTGGCTAGATGATAATAAAGACTATGCATATATACTTAAAACACTTTTTTTTAGATTTTCCTTGAATGAGACAATGTCAAATTTTACAATCTTACAACTTTCTCATCAGTAACCATTTTTTTAGAAATTTCTAGGAAATAGATGTCATGATTTTTTTTATGAAAATCTATCTTTACTTTAATGTTTTCTTTAACCAAGCTATATTATAATGAATTTTAATAACATTCTGGAAAATAACTGGAAAAGAAATATTATGTATATAGAGATTCCATGCTCTTAAAAGACATAAAAACAATTTCAAAAATATCCCAAGACAGTGATTCTTTAGTGCAAGGATTGTGAACAGCTGGAACAGCCTTCCAAAATACACTGCAGAGGCTGCATCATCAAATATATATTCAAGAACAAGGTTGATATCATCTTAGACATTTGACATACTCAACCCGACATTGATTCATTTTATTAAAAATGAGATATCTTTTTTCTTTCTTTTTTCACTTGTTTAAAGGTTTTAAGCCTAGATACAGAATTATTTATTATTATACTATTATTATTATTATTATTATTATGTAGATATATATTTATATGTATATAGAAAGTTGATTTCCTCTATTTGATCAACTTGTTAAAAAGGTAAATATCTTAGCAGCCCTTGTACCAAGAAGGTCCTGCCCCACATTTGATTTGCTTTATCTTTTGTTTTCCATAATCACCGAGGTCCTTGGCTCCATTTTTCCAAATGATGCGCTTAGAGCTGAAAAGCTGTTGCATGTTTGTCAGGTCACCACAGTTGGTCAGCTGAGGTCCATTGAATTCATTAACACCAGTAAATGTTGTTGGGTTTCCTTTGAAGTGATATGTAAATTTCAATTACAGCAAAAGGCAGTTTTTAGTATGTTTTAAATTAATGTGCCAATTTCTAGCATTAACTTTATAAATAACAAATTTAAGGTGATAGAATTTAACACATTTCGTTTGTGTAGTTCCTAGTTGCATAAGGTTTGAACTGCAAAGAAATTGAGAGAATGCCAAAAGGAGGCCTTTTGAGTTCATTCAGGTGATCCCCTTTGCCCTCACCAACACACTGGCCAAATTTTTGTTGCAGGCATCGTTGGTGATTATTATGCTTTGCATACACACAGGCAATAATGCTTTGCAACACACTGCCATGGCAAAAACATGTTTTGCCTGCTTGAGACAGGATGATTATTTGCAAACATTTTTGTTGCTATATAAATTGTGGTATTTTCAAATTGATAACAAAAGCAGCGCATTATTGCTTCATTATTCATACTACATCAAATAGTTGGTAATTTGTAAATGTTTAAAAATTGGTAATTATCACACATTTAGAAAGTCACAGGCTTGGAAATTTTGGGCAGTTGATACCCTAATACCCCCTCTCAGGCCCTTGAAGACTACTTCTTTAACAATTGTTGTTGGACAGGCAGTTACCCTCATAAGCTCATCCATGGGGGCAGTTTGTCACACTTGTGAAAATTTCTTCACCAAAAAGCCAGTCAAAAGAATCTCCGTTAAGACAAGACATCAACTATTTTTTGCTAGAAATGTGGTCTCATAGCGCAAAGGTAAGAAGGCTGTAGCAAAGAGCAGTAAATGCAAATTGTCATCTGGACTTACTTATCCATATTGTTTTATTTTAAGTTAATATATAATAAAATATTTGACAAAGAGCTTTTTGTAAAATCAGAAAAATTATTGCAAAAAGTAATTGAGATAAAAAGCATATAACTTCCCTCTTGTTTTACCAAACACCTAAAAATTTCTATTTTAGATGTAAAAAGGGATGTTGGATTTTATAGCTTGGGATATTGATTTGTAAAATTAAATTATCTTAAACAAGTAAAAATCTACAAGAACTTCATTTTAGGATATATTTTGGGTTGTTTATGTTTTCATTTTAGGATAAATTTATTTTTTGATATAAGTACATACCAAGAAATGATTTGCTTTTGCAGACTTCGGTTCCACCAATCATTGCAAATGGATAACTACAAGATGATTTTAGATCTGCAACTCTGATGTTTTCTGGTGGCCTGTAATAGTCATCTGCTATTTCTGGGTTGTCTGGATATTTTCTTCCAATAACTAATGCAGAATTCACTAACACATTTGATTTGATTTGAATATTTTTTGCTCGGACATGACATGCATTGCAATCTGTAGGACCATTGCCACCAGTCACTTGTATACCAGCTTTTCTTCCAGCTTCCATCACCCAGTTGTTTACAATTTGATGGTCAGAGTCATGTGCTGTGATGCCATGGTTGTCACGGTCACCAGTTTGCCTCATTTGTATGTAGTTTCTTGTTACATTGTTTCTTTTTCCATGGCGGAGTGAAATCCCACCAAAACATTCTTCTATTGCATTTTCATATACCTGAATAAAGCACATAATTGGGCTCCAATTAAGACTATTTTCAAAGCCAAAGTTCATTTACTGGTTCCTTAGATTCTCAGCACTAGAAGTTATACACTGTGACAGCTTCAAAAATATGTCAAGAGATTAAGATTTTGGTGATGTTTTTTATTGGTCAATAAATAATTTTTGATTAGCAACTTTATTCAGTATATTGGGTTCCTTTATTTGTTTTAATTTAAAACAGTCTGCCAAAATGAAAAAAAATTAACCTTTTTAGTACATCTGCTCTTTTGACAAAAGTACATTCAGTAATATTTCTTTGTGTCTTGTGTCACAGTCCTGAGATTCTTGGGTGTGTGGGCCTATTTCCCAAGTTGTAACCAATAATCTTTTATTTTTGTAAGAAAATGCAGCAAAAAGCAAAATCTGTCTCATACTTAAAAGATTTATCATGTTATAAATTTATTTTCTATTAGGCAAAACTCATATTTACATTTAATCTTGTTTGCGGAAACACAATCTAATTCATTCTTTTTTCTACAAACATTATTTTCACAATATTCACTACGTTTTCCAAGATTGATAACAGAAACCAACCTCATTTCCAGAAGACTTTATCCCTATGGTCTCTTGCTCAGCATCGATCTTGTGAAAGTAGTTGTGATGAACTGATGTTGCAAAGTCTTTGGTTTCTCTTCCTTGGTTTCTTGAAACCTTGACATAAATCCCCTCAGCCCCGTCATGTTTATGTTTCATCACTTTTGCATCAGGGTCATAATTCTCCAATCTGAAATTCAGTTTCAGTTTTCATTGGCAAATATATCTAAGTACAACTCAGAATACGTAAAACATCACTTAACCAACAATTAAACAAATAATTGATATAGAAGATACATAATACAATGTTACACTGGATAATCGAAAAAGGTAGGTATTACAATACAGGATATTTACTTGGAATAACAAGGGGGATCTTTCTCTCCAATTGGAGCTCAGGGTAAATGAAAACAAATTATAATTCATATAAAAGAAAGGAAAAAGCAATAAACGAACTAGAACGAATTTGAACATTTTTATGAACTTCTTACACATACATCTCTGTACAACGTTCTTCTGTTCTGAGGAAGCAAGTTAATTAAACATAATGTATTCAGGAATTTTGTCTAAAAATCTGTCAAGTGTACTTTTTTCTAGCATTTACAAACCTGTTATGGTGAATAGAAATGCCATGCATTTCCTTGTCCCCAACATATATGATTTCTGATGGGATTCCTATTACAGGTGCAGGTTTGTCTTTAAACAGACAATGGTGAATTTGTGTCCGATCCCCTCTTACTCGTGCCCATCTGTTTGCACAGTGGTTCTGTACAACGCAGTCAAAAACCTCGGAATCTTTCGCGCGTCTGTCAAATACAATTGGTGGTGGAAAATCACGTCTGTTGCCTTCCACATTTAAGGGTGCTGTAAACGTCAAATTCGCAACCTTAACTTGAGAACCATAGATTTTGATTTGTGATCTCCCTTTCATGACTACCTTCCCTCCTTCTTCACCCATGATTGTAATTCCATCCTTTTTTACTATCATTATCCAATCGTTGTGCTCTCCATTTGCGATGCAGATTACTTCCCCAAACTTTGCAGCAGACAATTTCGATTTAAATTGTGAGAATGTGCTGACACACGCTTGGAGAATAACCGGCAGGACTCCCAGGAATATTAAGGTGATGGATGTACGCTTTGAGAACTTCATCTTCGCTCAGAGGCAACTGTCTGCATCTAGGTACCGTAGATACTTTGCAGATATTTTTAAGTACTCTTCACTGTGCCTGAAATTCAAATAATGTGATCTTTGTATACAATATCATTGTCAGTACAGATGGTCTAATATTGTTTTCCTAGGATTAGACATTGTCTTGTAGATGTTTTTCTTCCTAAAATTAGAAGTTTCGTTGGTTACCTGAAATGTTCTATGTATGTTTTTCTATTTCCATGGAGATTTCTTACCCTTCTGAGAATTTTTGTATATAAATTCCCATAACAGTATTTAATGCTTTGAAAAAGTTCTATTTCCAATATTTTTCTAACGATAGTTTGCATCCGGTCTCTAGGCTACATGGACGTGGTTTGAAAATTTTCAAAACATTGTTTCCTCGTAGAGATCTAGAGCCTTTAGGATCCCTAGCATTTCTGTGATACATTGTGATTTATACCTTATACTGTATCTAAAGACTTTCTTTTGGTGGTCCTGGGTAGTATACGTTAGTATAGGACAGTATAATGTGGTATATGTCAGTTTATGGTGGTTTATGATGGTATGTTCTATCATACAGTTGTATACGTATTATACTCGCCGTTAGAAAATCGCACATACCCAAGATTTCCTTGACGTAGATGCACAAAGTATACATTTTACATCATCATTATATGAAAATTTGGTCTGCAATGTTATACCCTGGGTACCAGATCCCCTGTGAAAGAGATGCTCGAACAGTGGCTTCCATTTACCGACACTTACCGACCCAGTCTTTCACCGACCCACTCTTTCACTCAGGCTCTGGCACTCAGGGTAACAATTAAAGTATTTCAACCCAGTTTACTGATTTTGAAATTGGAAAATTTTAGTTGTCCATAAACCTATTGTAGTGCAGTAGGCAATTTCTTTCCAGTCCAATCTTCATCAATAAGGTATTTACTAAGATTTTAGCTACCTACTAGTGTTTTTTACAAGCAAAGATGAGAATATGCAAAATGTATAAAGGTCACGGTAGAAACACTGCTTAAAAGAATACTTGGGGCGAAGTAGATAAAAGGAAGAAAACAAAGATTAGCG